TCTGCAGCAATTAACCTCAAGGGCTCAGAACGCTGAAGAAGAAGGTGCTATTTCAATCATTTGAAATGAATCCGTTTTTCCTAGTAGCAGATTTAAGCTATAAAATATACCTGGCTTATAATGACAGTTTTTAAGGGGTGTCGAGAGGCCATGCGTACTAGTACACTTGCTTCTGCCGTGAGCCGCCATCATCACTTGGAGGTGACAGCTTTGACGCCCAGCATGGTAACTATAGCTTTCAATTTGTTTGTCATCTAGTGCATCCTCTTGCCTCTTTGCTTCCTTATATGAGTGCTGATCGGTTCTTGTCTATTTGTTAATTGCAGATTTGATAACATGGAACTGAGACTTGTTTGCTGAAAAGTCATTATGCAGCAGGTGCTTTGCAGAACGTCAATCTCATCACGGCAGTTTGTAAACTCTCTTGATATGTGAGCTTTCATACCCCGAATATCTTTCACATCCTGTGCCGGTCAACCCCTGCCTCTTCTTTCAGGAATAAATATTGAATGCTGAATTAAGAATCAACATCATAGCATTCAGGACACTCCTAAATGTGCTCCGTCCCCATATTCAGCAGCAAACAAAGAGTTCCAATTATAATGGCACCAGTAACTGTCGATTATATATCCGTCTTGCCTTTCTCTTGATTGTTGAGCATCGGCCAGATCCCCTGGCAACTCCTCGCAGCCCCATTCTCCTCAGACCATAATGATCTATTTGCGCTTCCAGGAAACATATATCTTTTATTACTCAAGTTCTGGATCAAGACCAAAGTTCAGGAGTGGACAAACAACCCGAATTTTCAGTCACATTTTACAGTTGGCGAAAAACTCAGAAGAAAAAGAAGATATGGCCAAAATATTTTAAGTGCCATGAATTTTGTATCTGCTTCTTCTTCACATTCACCAACAGAAAATTCTGGCAGAAAGTTCTGGTATTTGACCACTTCTGAACTTTAGTCTTGTTCCAGAATTTAGCTTCGCAAGCATGTCCCAAATCTGGCCTCCAGAGGTCTAGCAAGTGACCCGCATGCTGTGATGTTGTAATGATATTTCTATACGGGTGCGCTGGTCTTACATCTGCAATGACCGCCATTTTGGCATCTGAATAAACTTAGTTGAATGGCCATGAACTAAGAAGTACATCATAAGAACAAACAAATGAGGAACAATGGTCAGTTATTAATGTTTACGAATGTCCTGTAACTATTCAATTACATATGGTCAGATGATATTTACCATTGCACTACTACAGATTTCATTTTCACATCATCATCATGTAGCAGGTCCTTTGCAGAACGTGGCTCTCATCACAGTTTGCCTGAAAGAAACTCGACCTCTCGCCAGCTCTCCCCGCCTCATCTACTTTTATTCTCAAGGGGTCTTTTATATCCTGTGCCCATCTTCGTGTCGGTCGGTCCCTGCTTCCTGGTACCATGCCTTCTGCTATAATTTTTGCCAATCCGTCGTGGCACTTGATATGGCCAAAATATTTCAGCCTCCGAGACAGGATACTGTTTATTAGCCAATCTTCCTTGATGTTCAGATCTTTGAAGATGTCAGTATTTTACGAGTTTCTTAAGATAGTAATGTGGTAGTTTCCCATTGCTTTCCACATCCACATAGCTTTAGACTACGTCCTCAGCCTTCAGCAACCTTTTTGATTGCTGGGGCAAGTGAGTGCCCTGCTCTGTGATGTTCCTGCTAACAGCAGAGGACACCCCAGAGGCGTCCACTTATCCCGGGGGATACTCAGTCCCCACAGCTGCGTTGGCCACACCGCAGTGTGTTTACCATCCTCTACCGCGTGGAGGTGTAGTTGGAGTTTTCCTTTCACCGAGTCTTGACACCAGAATGGCATTTTCACATAGACACTGCAATAATTGAAGTAGTTAGAAAGCCAGTGATGATAATGACAGGTACTATTCACGCAGTACATATACTAAAATTGGAACGATACAGAGAAGATTAGCATGGCCCCTGCGCAATGATGAAACGCAGATTCGTGAAGCGTTCCATATTTTTGGGGAGTCACCGTGGCAGAGCGGCTACATGCTCACTGAGGATCGGTAGGTCGTGGGTTCACTCCCTGATGGAGCCGGAGTTTTTTTCAAAAATGACATTGGCTTCCAGGTCGGCCCAGCCTTGAGTTGGTACCGGTTACAGTCCCGGGAAGTAAAGGAGACCGGCGTGATGCTGACCACACCACCCATTTTGTGCCGATTGGTCTATAACATATAGGTCTAGCCCTATATGCCCTAAACGAGTGGAAAAGGGTCCTTTACTTTTTTTCTGTTTTTAATAACAGCCTTGACAAAAAGAAACAAATTGTCATAAAACAACATCTAACAAGAATATGAAAGCATCAACTAAATATATTTTAAACCATTTTTATATCATGTGACTATATGCCTTTTTCAGCAGTAGATGGTCAAATGGTTAGAATTCTAGCCTCATTCACAAGAGCTGCTGTTTTACACCTTGATTAAAGCCATAGATGGTTAACTATCATAGGACAAAGTCTACACAATTCAAACAATTATGAACAACCGTGTGACCGTATTCAGGGACTATGCCCTATTGCAGTGTTTAACTGGTTTCAGGAGCACCCCACCCACCATAGGGTGGGGGTGGGGGAAAGGATATATGGCAAGGACCCCCCCCCCACACAAAAAATTAATGTGGTGATTAAAAAGATCGGGACAAAATTAACAATCCCCAGCAAGTATTAACACGAACTAGAGAAAAATACTCACATAAATCAAAGCTCAAATAAGAAACAATCACCAACTGGTTATTTAGTGTTCAAATATCAATGTGATGGCTGATACTGTTTTGTCTTGACGATATCTGCAATTTATCGCCTGAAGTTGGACAAGGCACAAAGGAGATATCTCTTTCCACATTAAGCTGGCAGTACTGGTTTGTTTACAAATACAGATGGACTACATTTTCAAATCCCTCCCACATTGAAAACCTCTGCTCCATCCATTGGGAGACAAAAAAGTAGAAGTTTGAACAACGGATCAACATCATGGCACACGGGTAGAAACCCATAAGTGCTCAGTTCTTCTTCTAACTCGTCGGTTTCCGAAGAAGCTCAGCACAGTGCACAGGCTCTGTAGCACCGGCAAGGATCCTGAAATACTTTGGGCAGATTTTTAACTAGAAATTTTGCCAAAGCAGCGCCGCTAGGCTACTCTTTCCGATTTCCAACTGCCACGGAATTTGTGTTACGTGCGCTACAATGCACATGGGCGTCTAATCTCACTATCCAGAAACCAGGGGGAATTACTAGAAGTTCAAATCCACATGAAAAAATCCCAGCCCTTACCGGGGATTGAACCTGGAACCTCTAGCATTCAAGGCGGACACCATGCCTCGAGACCACGCAGCCCCCCCCCCACCCAAACTAAAAAAGCAGAAAGAAGAGAAGGTGAAAGCTCAGTCTGTACAAACTGTGGTCACTCCCTGGGCAGGACATCTTCTTCTTATGACCGGGGAACCCCTCCCCCTCACAACTCTTTTGCCCCATTTTGGAGAGGATAAACTCATTGCCCCCCTGTAACAATCGATCTGTATTTTAAGGGTTGAGTTGAGTCACGAACTGACATCACAGCACTCGGGGCATTCCTATGTGTGCTCTGTCCTCATCTTCAGCAGCCAACGCAGAGCTTCAACACTGATGGTACTGGTCACAATCTAACTATATGTCTGTCTTGCCTTTACTCTGAGTGTAGTGAGCCAGCCAGACCCTCTGGTTAAACCCAGATGCCTCATTCTCTTCTCTAATATTATTTTATCTCTACTGTTCTGTTGCTTGTTTCCAAAGGGCCTTGACCCGCATCAGTTTTAAAGAAGCTCACTGATGAGAAAAAAGTAACACAAAAATATTTGTCTATGCCAGACCAGAAATTATTCTTTTATTAATCAGTCACAAAGATATCTGTCAATGCTTAGCCACAGAACAGTAGAATATCAAATGGGAAATACTGGTCCAATCCCAAGGGAATAATGTTCGTTTTCCTCAATCACAACTGTTAAGAGATGAACAAGAGGAGGAGAAGAATTAGAAACAGGAAGAGAAGGCCTAAAAGCATGCACTAACTCTAAATGTATTTGTCTTGGCTGTGCATTTCATTGCTTGTTTACTAAACCCTTGATGTTGTTGATCTATCAATTACTCGATCTTCCTTTGGTTCACTATCCAAAATGCTGTGTGTGTCCAGATCATGAGTGGTAACATTCATGTCTACAACTGTGATAGACGGAGGACTCTTCTCATGGCAGACACCTCTGAAGACAGCTGAACAAATCAAGCAGTGATGGCCACGGTGCCACATTAAAACAATACTGTATGGGAGATCTAAGTCCTAAGAGAGAAGACAAAAGGCAAGGGAAATGTTAGAAGGGGTTTCAAATCTTATAAGTGTGATACAAATTAAAATAACCATGCCATTTTCTTGTAGCATGTCAATATTGTTAAGGATGCCAAGAGTGTTGAGCTTGTGACATTACAGTGCAGACAAACACAGTGACGTCAAAATTACAGTTTGACAATAGCCACACTACTTTTGGCATGCACCAAAGAGCAGCAGTATTGTGTAAAAAACTAAACAAAACTTAAGGTACCTCTACATCTTAGGGTTTAAAAAATAAATCGGACAGACTCAACAACTGGGTTCATCTGGGTAATGGATCAACATCAAAGTATTCAGGACAAGCCCACACCAGCTCTGTCTTCCTCTTCAACAGCCAGTAAAGAGTCTCCATTTTGAAAGAACCCATTGTCATCTGGTTAAATACTCTTTGCCTTTACCGCGAGTGTCCAGTGGCGCCCAGAGTCTGCAGACGCTCCCGCCTCATCATTTTCTCAAGGTACGAGTTTTCAGTAAGAGTGTCAGGTACCTCTATACCCCATGGTAGAAAAGGAAGAATGAATGAACATTAAGATTACATGCATGGCTTTGGTTTATCTGGGACATTTGAATACTGGTACTACTTGTTCTTGATAATCTGCACTCTCTGCCTCCACGTCAACATATAGTCCGCTCCAGACAACACTGTTGTTGTGGCTGTCAGATACCTGATCGATATTTAATACACATTTATTAGTTAAGACATAAAAAAAAATGAAGTTAAAACACTTAATGAAAACATGTAGTTAAACTCAATGCAAAACATCTTTTTTGTCAACAGTGTCAGTTAAGTTCTATACCCCCTGTGTGGGTTCCGGGGCCCTATTATAGGGAAAACAAGAATAGACCCACTGCCTACCCAAATAGCCTGTCTTAAGAGTTGAATAACTGGGAGCTTCCTTCGAAGTCGGAGTGCATCCGCCTGAGAGGCAAGGAACCAACAGCCTGCACACAAATGAGTCAGATCTGTCAAACGGATGCACACGCTACACTCAGGTTCTGAAACAGGACTGCAGTCCAGAAGTGGATGAACAACCAGAACTCTCTGCCAGAATTTACAGCTGGTGAACGCGAAGAATAAGAAACTTTAACTTGTTAGGAAGTTGCAGCTGCGATTACCTGAGTTAAAAACCAGTCTTTCAAAAGATTCACAACCAAACAAACAATGACAAAATACACTCACTATACAGAGAAAATGCCTAAAAATAATGATAAGATAAATATTAAAGATGATCCACCTTCAAAATAAGGACAATAGAAACAATAAATGGCACTGGGCTGATTTCTTCTTCTGCGCTCGATCTTAAAAGGACGGTTGGTACAATGTGTTATGGTTTACAGCAAGCTGCGATATCTGTGACTTTCAGCTCAAACACACTCGATTTCAGCGAATCCCTCATTAGTCGCCTTTTACAACATACATGCTTGAGGGAGAGATACAGATGTAAGATTACTGACCACAATATTCTGGTCCAGTCCATAAGCTGATCAGAATCTGCTTGGTGTTAGTAAATAAGAAGAAAAAATGATCTCACAGCTAGATTTTAAAAAAAGCAGATAACAGTACAAAACAATCAAAGGAGGATGTTCACAGGTCAACTTACATCAGAGTCTGCAGCAGTGGGTGATCAACAAAACCAAACACTGGTGATACCAGAGAAGAGGCTACAAATGTCAGCTGTAGAAATGTGTTCACCTGTTGGGAAGATATCATGTTTCTATGTACACACATACAGAATCATCCAAAGAAATTATATATATATATATATAAAAAAGCAAAGCACCCTTTTCATGTCAGTGCTGTTGCTTCTTAAAGTCCATGCCGAGTGGCGTTGGTAGTCACGTCTATCCACAACCTTTTGTCGCATGTACTTTCAATCAACTCTGACACAGATGATCTTTTATGCCCAGGATATTAAACCGTCCAGCCTCTGTTTCTTTCAGTCTCCCTCTGTCTCCCCTTCCCTCCAACTTTCCTACCGTCACAATGTACTCATTTTCTCCTTCTCATCATATGACCAAAGAATGTAGATTGTCTCTTTCTGATGTGGGCAATGAGTTCTCTTTGTGAGTCAATTTCTTTCAAGACGTCTTCATTATTCTTTTTATCAGTCCAAGGTATTATCATCATTCATCTATAAAACCACATTTCTGCAGCTTCCAAAAAAGTTTTCATTAATTTACTAACTGTCCATGATTCACATCAGTACATCAATACAGGATTTATATAGCTTTTAAGAATTCTCTCTCTCATCTCAACCGACAAAGAAAGATTGCTTAAAACATTCTTTATATTGTAAAATCTGCCTTTTGCTTGAGCTATTCAACATTTAACTTCGTTAATACATCTTTCATCTGATGCTAGAGTCCTATTTTTGTAGAGCAATCGGCACTCGGTGAGTGATGTGGTCAACAGAAGATGACTGCCTTTACTTCCCATGACAATACCTGGTACTCATTTTAGGCTGGATCAACCAGGCAGACAAGATCACTGTGGCCCCCACTAAAGAGATGTATATAGTTTTAAAAACTGTTAATTATAGACTTTTTCAAAGAGAATGTAACATGGCAAGTGTTCTTACTCTTTGTCATATCTTTTCTAAGGTAATAATATAATCATGTGGTCTGAATAATGGGGTATGTTTCTTCTTTTTTTGTTTGTTCACCGACTGTAAGCTCTGGCGGAAATTCCTAGTTGTTTGTTCATTTGGACTTTGGCTTTACGCTGTGGTCTGAGTTTTGTGAGTACATCCGTTTCACTGGCTTATTTGTGTGCAGTTGGTTTTTCCTTGCCACTCAGGCAGAGCACTCTGACGTCAAAATAAGTCCCCAGTTAGTCAGCTCCTACGATTTGCTTGTTGCTGAGGCAGTAAGTCTACAATTTGTTCCCCCATAATGGGGTCACGGGAACCCCCATGGATGGAAAAGTAAACACAGTCAACACTGAGTTTATCTAATCCTTTCAATTGCACAAAATGAACCACACTTTTGAAACCTGGTTGTCTCATATCCAAGAATCATGTATTCCCATATGATGATTCAATATCAATGTATGTTGTACAGCAGGTGAAGTCGGCATACCGTATTTCCCCAAGTATAAGACACACAAAGAGACAAACACTGTTCTTGGGCCACATAATGAGAAGACAGACATTAGAGAACATTGTGACAACTGGGAAGATCAGTGGAAAAAGGGGTAGAGGCAGACCAAGAGAGATGATGCTGGATGGGCTAAAACAATGGCATGGAGAGATACCATCAAGAGAGCTGTTCCAGTCAACCAGGGATCATGATCTGTGGAGACGCATGAGTGCCCACGCCGGCTGGCAGGGCACATGATCATAAGACACTTATTTTCCTAAGATAGAGGATCTAAATAACAGTATTCTTCTTAATTAGACAATAGCAGCTAGAAAATATTCAATGCAGGGCTTCAATTGGGAATGCGGGTTCAGGGATGACAGTCTGCGGACAACTTGACAGCAACAGGTTGTGTGAAGAAACATACACAAGTATGTACCTGGGTGAAAAGATCCTAGGAAAATGTGAAGATTGTAACTGCTGCCAAGTCATTCAAGAAGTGCGGCATTTGGAACGCCAGACTGAAAGGAGGATGAGGCAATATATGAGGATAACGATTCGTCTTCAGACAGAGATGAGGACAAGCTAACGAACTATCATATGGATGAAAGTTCTGGCAATAATGAGGAGTTCTGTGCATTTTATGATGAATAAAACGTGAGCGCAATAACTTTATGTAATCACATTATTTTGTTCAAAATTTCTGGTCCTGAAATAAGTGTCTTATACCCAAAAAAATAGTTAAAAGTCAAACTTTGTATGACCTTTTTGGCAGATGTAGCCTATAGTCAGTCTACAGTATGTCTACAATTAGTAGCTGATGGCAGATGTAGCCTGTAGTCTACAGCATGTCTGCAAATAGCAGCTGATGGCAGATGTAGCCTGTAGTCTACAGCATGTCTGCAATAAGCAGCTAATGGCAGATGTATCCTGTAGTCTACAGTATGTCTGCAATAAGCAGCTAATGGCAGATGTAGCCTGTAGTCTACAGCATGTCTGCAATAAGCAGCTAATGACAGATGTAGCCTGTAGTCTACAGCATGTCTGCAATAAGCAGCTGATGACAGATGTAGCCTGTAGTCTACAGCATGTCTACAATTAGCAGCTAATGGCAGATGTAGCCTGTAGTCTACAGTATGTCTGCAATAAGCAGCTAATGGCAGATGTAGCCTGTAGTCTACAGTATGTCTGCAATAAGCAGCTAATGGCAGATGTAGCCTGTAGTCTACAGCATGTCTGCAATAAGCAGCTAATGACAGATGTAGCCTGTAGTCTACAGCATGTCTGCAATAAGCAGCTGATGACAGATGTAGCCTGTAGTCTACAGCATGTCTACAATTAGCAGCTAATGGCAGATGTAGCCTGTAGTCTACAGTATGTCTGCAATAAGCAGCTGATGGCAGATGTAGCCTGTAGTCTACAGCATGTCTACAATTAGCAGCTAATGGCAGATGTAGCCTGTAGTCTACAGCATGTCTACAATTAGCAGCTGATGGCAGATGTAGCCTGTAGTCTACAGCATGTCTACAATTAGCAGCTGATGGCAGATGTAGCCTGTAGTCTACAGAATGTCTACAATTAGCAGCTGATGGCAGATGTGGTCTGTAGTCAGTAAACAGCATGTCTACAATAAGCAGCTGATGACAGATGTAGCCTGTAGTCTACAGCATGTCTACAATTAGCAGCTGATCGCAGATGTAGACTGTAGTCTACAGCATGTCTGCAACTAGCAGCTGATGGCAGATGTAGCCTGTAGTCTTCAGCATGTCTACAATTAGCAGCTGATGGCAGATGTAGCCTGTAGTCTACAGAATGTCTACAATTAGCAGCTGATGGCAGATGTGGTCTGTAGTCAGTAAACAGCATGTCTACAATAAGCAGCTGATGACAGATGTAGCCTGTAGTCTACAGCATGTCTACAATTAGCAGCTGATCGCAGATGTAGCCTGTAGTCTACAGCATGTCTGCAACTAGCAGCTGATGGCAGATGTAGTCTACATCCTGTAGCAACTAATAATTGATCTTGTACATAAATTCAAAGCGTACCTTGCTGATCCTTGAAGGGTGTAGTTTGACAGTAACATGGGACACATCGAAATATCTTGACAGAGTTTTCTGGTGACACAAAAGTTACAATAATACAGGGTCTCCTCGACCCATGACCAATTTCTGCTCCGATTAACAGGTCATAAGTCAAATTTATATTTTTCAACAATAGTTTTCATTCAAAGAGTATGCCTTATGTAGCTTGGTCAGACTCTGCTATGCTCTAGGTATCAGTTCTGGGAACTTGATGATCCTACTAATGCAGTTATCTTTCTTTCTTCACTTTTTATGTGTGGTTTCAAGTTTGGATGATCATGAGTTGCATAAGTAGTAAGCGCCGATAGTCGTAAATTGCACAGGTTGTTATTGCGGATGGTCATAAGTCACAAAGGTCATAAATTAAGTAGAATGTGTACATTAAAAAAAAAACAAAAAAAAAACAGACATAAAATAAGTCTTTCAGTTTCTGTTGCAGAATCATATTTAAACAATGAACCCAATAGGCCTACAGTGGAGACTGCTTGTGGTGATCTTGGATGTGGTGAATTTCTGTTGTGAAGAACATTCTGTTTATTTCTTGCAATTTCTGGATAAGAGGAACTCCTGATAAGATGAAGCATTTCTTGGGTCCCCTGTGAGTTCTCTTGGACGAGCTGAGTTAAAAACTCACATTATAGCACAGTGGTCACTCTCAGATGGGCTCTGTCCTTATCTCCAGCAAAGTGATCAAACTTTTCCAAAGGTACCAAGAGTGACTGACTGAACAGTTGAAGAACGCTTGGCTCGCCTGCGGAGACCCAGGTTTAAACCCTCAGAATGTTGGGGCAAAAATAAAATCCTAACCTGCAGTCTGTGGAGACAGCTGCAGCCATGCTGTCTCAAATAACCCCGTGCCTACACCACAACAAATGGTAAATACATGCCGGTAACGGCAGTGATAAATTATACTAGAAGAAATCTGATTATACATCTGTCTTGCCTTTCTTGTGATAAAAGATCGGTGCTGAATTTCAGTCAGAACTTTGACCAGTCCTTGCTGCACCACCCTCTCATCACTGTAATGATCTAATCCTCTCATCACTGTAATGATCTAATCCTCTCATCATTGTAATCATCTAATCTTCTCATCACTGTAATGATCTAATCCTCTCATCACTGCAATGATCTGATCCTCTCATCATTGTAATGATCTTATCCTCTCATCACTGTAATGATCTAATCCTCTCAGCAGTGTAATTATCTAATCCATTTATCATTGTAATGATCTAATCCTCTCATCATTGTAATGATCTAATCCTCTCATCATTGTAATTATCTAATCCTCTCATCACTGTAATTATCTAATCCTCTCATCACTGTAATGATCTAATCTTCTCAACACTGTATTGATCTAATCTTCTCATCACTGTAATGATCTAATCCTCTCATCACTGTTATGATCTAACTCTCTCATCATTGTAATGATCTAATCTTCTTATCACTGTTATGATCTAATCCTCTAATCATTGTAATGATCTAATCCTCTCATCATTGTAATGATCTAATCCTCTCATCACTGTAATTATCTAATCCTCTCATCACTGTAATGATCTAATCCTCTCATCACTGTAATGATCGAATCCTCTAATCACTGTAATGATCGAATCTTCTCATCACTGTAATAATCTAATCTTCTCATCACTGTAATGATCTAATCTTCTCATCACTGTAATGATCTAATCTTCTCATCACTGTAATGATCTAATCCTCTCATCACTGTAATGATCTAACTCTCTCATCATTGTAATGATCTAATCTTCTCATCACTGTAATGATCTAATCTTCTCATCACTGCAATGATCTAATCCTCTCATCATTGTAATGATCTAATCCTCTCAGCATTGTAATGATCTAATCCTCTCATCACTGTAATGATCTAATCCTCTCATCACTGTAATGATCTAATCCTCTCATCACTGTAATTATCGAATCCTCTCATCACTGTAATGATCTAATCCTCTCATCACTGTAATGATCTAATCCTCTCATCATTGTAATGATCTAATCCTCTCATCATTGTAATGATCTAATCCTCTCAGCATTGTAATGATCTAACCCTCTCATCATTGTAATGATCTAATCCTCTCATCATTGTAATGATCTAACCCTCTCATCATTGTAATGATCTAACCCTCTCATCATTGTAATGATCTAACCCTCTCATCATTGTAATGATCTAATCCTCTCATCATTGTAATGATCTAATCCTCTCATCATTGTAATGATCTAATCCTCTCATCATTGTAATGATCTAATCCTCTCATCATTGTAATGATCTAATCCTCTCATCACTGTAATGACCGAATCCTCTCATCATTGTAATGATCTAACCCTCTCATCATTGTAATGATCTAACCCTCTCATCATTGTAATGATCTAACCCTCTCATCATTGTAATGATCTAATCCTCTCATCATTGTAATGATCTAATCCTCTCATCATTGTAATGATCTAACCCTCTCATCATTGTAATGATCTAATCCTTTCATCATTGTAATGATTTAATCCTCTCATCATTATAATGATCTACTCCTCTCATCATTATAATGATCTAATCCTCTCATCATTGTAATGAACTAATCCTCTCATCATTGTAATGATCTATCTGCCCTTCCTCTTGTTCAGCTGCTCCACAAGGCCTTGACAACATAGAGCTTGTATCTATTTTTAAGAGGCTAGGTCAGAGCTTTCCAAACTATGTGTAGTTACACACTGGTGTGACGGCTGCTGCAGGACGGTGTACCATGTGAATGTAATTTATGTACTTGTGTGTTATCTCTTACAAAGAGTTAGTTTAACATCTGGTTGGCTTGTAGTCTGAATTACTGTGAAAAATTATGTCCGTCTTCTTCTGTTTTCGCTGGCTTGAAACAGATTATCTATATCTGAAATATTGTCTCTAGTATGAACTTCACTGTCTTTTGTATATTCAATCAAAGCCAGACCTGCCAATGGCTGTGTTCCTCCTCCCCTCCCCCCTCCCCAGATCCAGTGTATTTGAATCAGCCTTTTTTCTGGAATATCCAAACCATTGGCAGGTCTTTTAGCGACCCGTAAAGTTTGGCTTGCACCAGTGTTTCTCTTAATATGTTGTACTTGGGAGAATCCTGGAGGAAGAGATCTGTTGTCTCAGATGCTCATACACACTGCTGATTCGCCTATCTTAAATTTTGTGTACATGTGGCCGCAAAGTCCACTGTGTCCTGTTCTAAGGCGTACAATAATGACTTGCTCTGGTCAGTCCACTATATGGTAATAGACTTTTTATGTTTGTCTAAAAGTGCGCTACCAACATAAAAAGCTTGGAAAGTTCTGGGCGGGGCCAACCCCCCTGCTGGGCTGTTCAGGAATAAATAAAGCTGCTTCTGCTAGGGACTGAACCCGAGACTGTTGTCATCAACTATTATGCTTACGGTACAGTATGCAACAGGGCTTTTCTTCCTAGATAAAAAGGTGCTGGTACTCACCAAAAAGTGTCTTTTGAAAAAGGTGCCTCTGCTCGCTAAAATTGCCTACCCCAGTAGAACTAAAAAAAAAAATGCCTTAAAAAAGGAGCTAGTACTTAACACTGGGAACCGCCCCCCCCCCCCCCCCCCCCCCCCCCCCCCCCAAAAAAAAAATCCCCTGGTATGCAAGCTAATTTCTCTAACAGTAATTTCACTCTCACAGTAGTTTCCTATTCCAAAAGTAATTCCCTGTTCCAATGGCAATTCCATTCCTTCAGTAATTCCTTGTTACCAAAGTAGTTCCCTGTTCTCACAGTAATTTTCTATTCCCATAGTAGTTCCATTCCCACCGTAATTCCCTGTTCCCACGTTAATGAAATAAATTAAGTTGGACGGCAATGGGAGACAATAATGTTCTAGATTGCCACTCAATTAATAAACTGTTCCATTAAGTAACTTACTGGAGGTGACAGGGTCACGTAGCGGAGGTAGAAGGAGCCAGCAATAAGCACAACATCTCGACTCATAATCAAAGCTGTCATTGGCACTGAAATAGAATTATATATAGAACATATAAAGCCGAACGGCAGACATATTCATCAAATGTATAAAACTCAATTTAAATTTAACACCTAAAGTATTCAGTAAAATTATAAATTTTAAACAAAACTTATCATAGAAAGTATGAAGATTGTGTTCATCACAGTCTAACAATAAAGTGAACATAAAAGATAAAAGAATGGAGTATAAAACCAGAATCATCAACTGAACAAGCCTGTACACACAAAAAAAAAAAAGAGTTATGATCTGGGTTATCTTCACGGCACTCCAAACACGTCCATAGGTGCTCAGATTCCCCCTTCAACATATACATCAGCGTCCCGCGGTTGATAGTCCCAGTCTTATGTTGGTTGACAAGACTTCACGTGCATCTGGTGTGCTTCTCGAGCCTGGCTGTGCTGATCTTTATTTCTAATTCTTGCACTCTTAGCAAAGATGTGAAAGTGTTGCTCCCAAAATCCTCCGAATGTCCTACCTCTCTAATGGTGCTAACAATGTCGGCATGACAAAATTTATTATCTAGACACACAAAATATCAACCTGAAGCATGTTAATAATAAATAAATAAGGAACATTTTATTTTTGCGTAAAATGTCTTTGAACTGTCGAAAGATAGAACAGCCAACAATTGCTGATTGTAAACTTCTGTTGTCTTTTATCCCTTAATGTTAAAGACAGAGTACAGTGGTGAGGTAGACAGTTTCTTGCCTCCTTACATGATGTTACCAGGTGTAATGTTAACCGAAGGGGACAGTAAGAACTGGGAGAATAATCTGGGGGAAGGGGGAGAGAGAGTAAAAGAGGTCCTAAGAGAGGGAGCTAGGGGAAAGATAGGGAGAGACAGAGGAAGCCCAAAAAAGAGATGGAGCTAAGAAAGGGTGGGGGACAGAGAGTGATAGAGAGGAGCTGAAAAAAAAAAGGGGGGGAAGAGAGAAGAGGCTTCAGGTGAGAGAGAAGGTGGGGGGGGGGGGGAAGAGAAAAGGGGGGTGGGGGAGCTCTAAGTAAGGTAGGAAGCTAAGCTTTGCAGCTACGAAAGATGTCTTACTGCACACAAACCTGGTATCAGACCAACAGAGGTCAGGGAGATGGTGAGAAAGCTGACCAGCAACTTGTCGGCTAGGGGGTCTAATGCCATGCCCAGCGCAGTTGTCTGGTTTTTGAAATTTCTGGCAATGTAACCATCAAGCTGAAATAAAGAAAGATCACTGTAAAAGTCAGTGACAGCAGATACTAGTATAAGGATGAAGTATCTTATTTGACCCGACCCAGAGCAGAGGCAAGGGCTTATTTCAACATTTACATTCCCAAACACTTCCTCACTTAAATCAAAATTACAGCGCAAGTCATCCTTTCATCCATCCCCAAAACCATCATAACTTCGTTGGGCAGGTCATATAGTCTGCATGTTTGACCACAGACTGCCAAAAAGAATGTTCTATGTTGAGCTACAAAAAAGGAAAATACTCTCAAGGTGGACAGAAGAAGCGTTTCAAGGACAACCTCAAGACCTTACTGAAAGACTTCTGTATTGATCCTAAAACCTGGGAAATCACTGATGTGACCATTTATCCTGGCACTTCTCTCTTCGCTGAGGAGCTGCAGCTCTTGAAGCTGCTAGAACTGCAGCGGCAATTAAGAAAAGACAAGCCAGGAAAGACACAGAAGCAAATCACTAGAGAGATGCTGCCTCAATTTCCTGTTCACACTGCTCAAGAGCTTTCAGTGCTAGAAATGGCCTTATCAGTCATCTGCACACTCACAAAACCTAATCCAGTCACCAATCGATGAAAGGACTGGTCATCATCACCTGTGATGGACAAACAACGTAACACATTCCCAAACAATGTGATTAGCCCTGAGTCCCAGCCATCGCAGAATGTGTCCAGTAACACTTTACAAGAGGAAAATAAAAGAACTTCCCCAGCAGCAACTTCCACAGTGTATTAACCCAGTCACCCTGGGAGGCTCTGAACCCAACATGTCCATCATTACCTTATTCCCATAAAGGCTGTGAAACTGTTCTGGCCAGAAACAATCTCAAACACTAAACTAACTCAACATAAAGGCTGTGAAACTGTTCTGGCCAGAAACAATCTCAAACACTAAACTAACTCAAGTCACAAACTTAAGAAACTCTAGACAGTATAACCAAGAGAAGATGGAAATGACTTGGCCACGTCATGAGAATGAATCCTGATATACCTGCCAAAACAGCTCTCACATGGACACCAGAAGGAAAGAGAAAGGGGCACCCAAAAACAACATGGAGACAAATGATGAAAAGTGAACTGAGTGCTACATCTCTTACATGGAAAACTGCACTGATGATTGCACAGGACAGATCTTTTCCAGAAGTCAAAACTCTCATTAAGAGAAAATCAGAAACAGATTGGAAAAACAACACTGGTTATGACTACGGAAAAGATTTTCTGAGGCACTTGAACAGAGCAGACCAAGTCACAGTTTTTCGCTTACGCACTGGACACTGCAGACTCAATAAACACTCATATAAATTAGGTATGAGCCAAACAGCTCTCTGCCAGTGTCTTTGTGCTGAACAGACTCCAGAACATGTCCTGCAAGACTGTCCTCTCCTGGCGGAGCTGCGGAGCGACATATGGCAACACCCAGTAGAACTGACAACTAAGCTTTGGGGAAACCTAAGAGACCTTGAAAAGACATCCCAGTTTATGACCCACAGTGGATTATGCGCATGACCAGAGATCGCTGAAGAAGAAGAAGAAGCACAGGACAGGAAGGCATGGAAAGTCCTCTTTAAAGCCTTATGCGCCACTAGGCATAAAGTGAAATGACTGTGAAACTGGCAGGTCTGGAGTGACCTGTTTCTGAGAAGCGAGTTAAAATAATGGGTTCTGTCCATGCCTGATCATCGTTTAGAAAGATATGAATATATTTACTAAAACATAAGGGTGATTTTCTTGACTTTTTTTAAAGGCCACACTGAAATCCCAGTGATAGAGATCATGGAATGATACCTAGTTTCTGTTTCCGTGCTTTACCGATTAATCCCTTTATACACCTATATTTCAATTAACATTAAAAAAAATGTAAACAAATAATTTTTAAAAAATTTCAATTTTTTAAGGAATTCACCCAGGTTCATAACCCATTCTTTAGCATTTGTGAGGTGAAAAAGAACAATTCTAATAGCCACTTGTGCAAAATGTTTTTTTTACTGCGTGCATGTGTTGTTGATAGAAATGTTTTCAGGAATTCCCCCCACAGTTTATGACCTATTTTTTTTAAGCATTTGTGATGTGAAAGGATGGAGTCTCTCTGAAAGAGAGTTCTGCAAAACTTGTTGCAACTGAAAACAAACTTAAACATAATATATTTTCACCATCTTCATGTAGCAGGTCCTTTGCAGAACGTCGCTCTCACTCTCATCATATTCTGCCTGAAAGAAACTCTGTCTTCAGCCAGCTCTTCCACCTCGTGTACTTTTATACTCAAGGAGTCACTTATATTCTGTGCCAATCTTGGTGTTGGTCGGCCCCTGCCTCTTCTTCCTGGTACCATGCCTTCTGCTATTATTTTTTCCAATCTGCCACGGTGCTTGATTTGACCAATATATTTCAGCTTCCAAGACAGGATATGTTCAAGAAAGGCTAAAACCATTTTCAAGCCAGGTCACTCTAGTATGAAAGGCAATTAATTCTGATTTGGTTGACCCCCCCCCCCCTCCCCCACAATGCTTAAGGTGGTTGATTCCCCCCTCCCCCACAATGCTTAAGGTGGTTTATACCCCCCCCCCCCCTTTCCCCCGAAAACAAAATTGGGAGCTTCGAAACCAGAAACCCACATGGAGAATGGAAAGAGTTGAGTAACAGTTATCCATCTTAATGCTTCAGTGTTTCCAGTCACCTCCATCTTTACATTTGAAAAACAAGAACTTAAATCAAATTACATATGGTTAGGTTATAAACGTGGCAGAGAAATATTATAGTCATATGACATACCATGTCAGTAATGCTAGCAGCTATAAATAAACCGCACGCCAGACCGAAAGACTCATTCACCACAAGGTAAGCCAGCACTGGAGCAGACGCCATACGCAAGGTCGTCAGCAAGTTTGGGATAGTCCTAATATCTTCTCTCTGTTAATGGATGAAATATTCAGAAAACGAGTAGGAAACAAAAGCTAATTAGTTACATGCTGATAACAGTGAGGTAATTGACAAATTAGTCACTATATCTCAAATATAATTCAGAAGGGTTGAACAGGTACTTCTTCTTCACTTCTTCAGATATGGAGGGGGGAATATAAGGTTCAGCTTCTTGCTCTTCAGGCAGCCTGACACATCATGCTATTGCAGTGTTTCTCTGATGTTATCTTTCCATGTTGATTATAGTCTACCTCATGCTCTACAGCCAGAACTTTCCACCAGAGTTTACAACTGGTGAATAAGAAGAAAAAGAAGAAGATGTCTATCTAATACATCTGCTTACTACTGAAATCTTCTGCTTCTTTCTTCCTACTGACATTACTTTTGTTACTTTAGTGTTGATTTTCATATTATTTGCTTTAGATTCTCAATCCACGGTTGTGAGATATTGAATTTATGGCTATATCTGCTATCAAGGCCTGGTCACCAGCAAATAGTACCTCACTGATCTTACTAATACTTCCGTTGCCGAGCTTGGCAACTTTGTTTATACTGTTGATGTAGGTAATAAACAGGACAGGTGAAAAGAAACACATCCGTCTTATTCAAGATGTTTCCCACACAAACAGTCAAATTGAATTATGTTTGCACATATGAACATTTACAAAATAAGGTAACAACAAAACTATGCAAGCAAAAAACCATGACATAAATCTAACATAAAGGGACTGCCATTGACTACCATGGACTCAAGTAAGAGATACAGACAATTCAGGACCAGTCTCTCTCAGGGCCATGCCAAAAGGAAACCCATTGGAAACTAATGCCCTCACAGAGGACAGCACAGGATTAGCCACTAAGACCCCAACTTTGAGAAAAAAGAGAGCAGGCAGCATAAGAGACACAAGTCGGAAGATGAGCTAACTTTATGCAAAGCTCACACAATCCAAGCAGCAAGAAGCAAAATCAAAGAATAATTATTCCTTTTCTTCTCGTTCACCAGGTGTAAACTCAGGTGAAAAGTTTTAGTTGATTGCCCACATCTATAGTCCCGTTCCAGAAACTAAGTGCTGCATGAACATCCGTTCTAATGTCTGACTCATTTGCATGCAGACTGTTGGTTTCTTGCCTTCATGCAGATGCACTTCTATTTTGAAGAAGGCTCCCAATCAGTCGACTCTTACAACATGCTTTTGGGCAGGCAGTGGGTCTATCCTTGTTTGCCCCAGAACACACACAGGAAACATGCTAACTGTAACTTTCACTTTGAGGTTGAACAGGGTTAATTTATAGAAGAAGAAAAAACACGTAACTACCTTGGACTCAAGCAAGATCATTATAGACAGAGAGACAGTTAAACAGAAAGAAAGAAAGCAAAAAGACAGGCAGAAACAAAAAGACAGAGAAAGAAAGGGAAACAGGACAGAGTTTGCAGCAAAGAAAAGACTAATACAGTGGAAACAAGAACTTTATTACCGGAACCTGAAGTTTTTTGCCAAGATGTCTGACGGCTTGGACTCCCCTGATTCTGTGGGTTCTAATCTTTTCTCTCAGCGTAGCTTTCTGACTCAGTAAACTGCTCTGGAGCCTGGAAACTCTGCCTTTAATTAACAACCTTGTCCGATCCTGGAGTCGATACTTTGTGCTGGTAATATTTATACTTTCGCTGCTGAAATCATCATCTTGGTTGCGGCTACTTTTGCCAACGTATCTTTTTGCACTGTAACTTCCAGCGTCATATTTTCGTACATCTAATATGTGAAATGATGTGTTTGTAATACCAAAAGATCTGTCCAATGATGCTGGCACAAAATTTGATCTAGACAACTGTCTGCAACTGTGAATATTTCGAGAGAGCAAGGCAAATAAACTGTATCTGGCAAACTCTGTTGTGTTAATTCTGCTCTGAAACAATGCCCCTGATGTTAATACTCCTACAGATGTAGACACTGATAAATCCTGACATGTTGTTCCACACCAATGTGAATGTCTAATGTTAGTACTATGAGAAGCAAACCAGGGTGTCTTGCAGGAAACTAGCAAACCAATCCTGTTCTTTAGAAGGTGATCGATGAAGGTGCGATTTATTGTGCCCAATTTCATTCTCGTGGGTAACAGTAACAGAAGGGGATCAACTTAACAAACTATCACATATATGCACAATTTCACATACATATTACTATCACCATCGTTATCTGTCAGAACAGTAACACTCAACACATGTCCTCATCGGATGACCGTCAACTTGAGGCTTACCCTTGCTTTTTGAAACTTTCAACGTTCAACTTACACTTTTCATTCAATCTAAAATCAATTACAAATGTATTTTATGAGAGCAAACAACCGTAACTTTAAATAGAGACTTTATTTTAAACCAAAAATTATTCCCTAAGCAGAAAAGGCTATAACAGTGAAGCCTGTTAATCAACAGTTCTAAAGAAAGGGACAGCTGTGGGCGCCGCCATGTTGTGGCGCCATGTAACAGCCTAAAAAAATATGACAGGTTAGAGGCGGGGAAAAATTACAGTGATTATTAAAATTATTTTGCTGGACGTTAGGTCTGTGACTATCTTTATTAACAAGGAAAAAAATTACAAGACGTTTGTGTATTTTATTTTGTTGAAATCAACGTTTGGTATTTTCTGTAGCGACAATAAATATATTGCCGGTTTGCTTGTGCCCGTTGCAATTTCACCAACTATTGTGACAGCTAGTCCCCGTCCCCCTTTTCCCTCTTCAGCACAGGGGAAATCCAGTTAGCAAAAAGCAACATCTTATGTAAAACACATTCGTTCCAGTCCTGTGCTACCAGTGCCAGACATGGTCACTCGCAACAAACCAGAAAAGAAAATTAGTGACCAACGGCATGAAGAAAGCTGCAGAAATGACAATGAGATAAAATCAGGAATGAAGTCATAAGTGAAAAAGTCGGCAAAGAACCAATTCTGAATTACATACAAGGACAGCAAATCAAAGGCTTTGCTCACTTAGAGAGAATGTTTTGTGACAGGAGACTCGCTTTCAAATCCAGCTACGACTTGCTGCAGCCTGTAGCCGGTGTTCGAAACCGGGAGGTTCCCGGGGTTCACCCAGCCTCTTGGTAATGGGTACCAGAGTTAACACTTTGGGTAAATGGAGGAACGTCGCTGTAGCTACAGACTTGCGTGCGGACGGCGACACAGTTTCTCATCAGCTGTCCATACTGGTGGCAGAGCACTCATAACCGTGTGCAATGACGCTGGTTCACATCTCCCTACTATTTATTTTTAGCGAACCATTCAAGACATACACCAACAGAGGTCACGGACATTGAGCACAAGGCAGGACAAGAACAAGATGAACATAGAAAATAAGAGAAACTCTACAACAGCAAGACATGTATGTGGTCAACTCGGCCAGAAGAAGGAAAGAGGAAGTGAAGAAGAAGCTGAGGAAGAAGCCAATTACTGCCTTTATTCTACCACTATTACGGTGTAGGCAGAGGCTTAGAAGTAGATTTATACCCCACTAGGACATCACACAAGCGATAAACACTCGATGACACAAAGTGCCACCATGCGGATGAGGATCACCCGTGCAGAGGTCCCAGAAACCGCGTTCAGCCATTAGACCTTATTTATGGTCGGGCTATATTGCGGCCCCTGGCAAGAGCCAGGGTGGGGCTACAAAATAACGAAAAATTGCATCTCATAAGGTGATGGCTAGAATTAGTAGGCGGGGGGTTCTTTGAGGCTAAGGTGTTACGGCCGCATGGCTAATTCTGTCGCCACGACAGCAGTGTTGTCACTTCTCTTTGACAAAAAACATCCAAAACGGGGTCAAAAAATATCTAAAAACATCTAAATTTGAGTGGAAAACATTTAGAAAAAATCAAAATGGAAAGAGTCACAAATTACATATCAATTGATTTGATTTGATTCAAGAACCGACATCACAGCACTCGGGGCATTCACATAAGCGCTCCGTCCCCATCTTTAGCAGCCAGCGAAGAGTTCCGATACTAATGGTGCCAGTAGCTTTCTGATTAAACGTCCGTCTTGCCTTTCCTCTGAGCCTCGAGCTTCTGCCAGAACCTCTCGTCACCTCTAACTGCATCAATCTCACCAGACTGTGGTGATCCATCTGCTCCTCCGAATTGTACACGCTCTTCCACAAGGCACTAACGACGTCTGCGCTATCATGTATCAGTATTCCACCAAGTTGTGCAGAGCCAGCCAGTCTGTCCGCCTGTTCATTTCCCAACACACCGGCGTGATCCGGTTAAAAAAATCCAGGCAATACTGCTCACCCGTGTCCTCCGCAGCGAAGCATGCCACTCTGCATGAAGCAAACCTAGTCTGATCTTCCCCAGCATGCTTTCTGAATCAGTTACAATCACGATGTGTGTGTGTGTGTGTGTGTGTGGTGTTCTCTAGCCAGCGGAAAGCTGCAGTGACCGCCTCCCCCTCCATTCTTAAGCTGGATGTTGTGGTATCTCCTGCACCAAACGTCGACCATTAACTTTTGCTAAGAAGCCCCAAGCACTTCTTTTGCCTCTTGACACTGAGCCGTCTGTGTAAATGATCCAATCCTCTGAGCGAGCATTATCTTGAATTAATTGCTGAATTTCCACCTCTGTGGACTTACCCTATAGAATCATGTCCTCATCTTTACTGAAGACTTCCTTGCAAGATCCACAGGATAAACTTAGCTTGGATGATGAAGTTGAAGCTTCAGGTCCAAAATGACTCTGGTATACTTTAGTTGTTCCAATTTCTTTTAATACCCAGTCAGGGAGCTGATAAGTGGAACAGCCTTTTCCTACTCTTATCAAGCCGAATTTTATTGTCAAGATAGCATTTAAGAGGTAAAATTTCATCCTGTTTCTTAGATTAGATTTGATAAATTCCCTCAAAATGAAAAAAAAATCTACCATCTAAACGTCAAAAACGCCATCTAAATGCAAAGGGAAACATCTAAATCTGGATATAAAACATTCAAAGTGGCAACACTGCAGTGCAGAGACAAGAACGATAACCGGACGTCAAGTAAGAAAGAAACAAGAGTTATGTAACCTTTGTTGTCAAAAATGTGAACACGTACACAACAGACAGACAAGACAGGGCACAGGGACCCGGGACACGATTCCACAGTTTTGTTGTATTTTCTGACAGCAAGGGGGAAAAGATATAACAGAAAAATTCAGACTGATTGATGTTGGTTCAAGAAGGCATGAAATAACACATTTATTTTGACCTAATAATACAATTTCTTTTTAAATTTTAAAACAAATAAAATTAATAATATACAGTGTATAATACACACGTTTGGTGGTAAACCGTTTACAAGTTTTATTAGTTTTAGTGTAGAACAATATAATTTTCCCCCGTCTAGTGTCTAGAAAATTCAAATAGGAAAAGTAACATTCAAAATTAATGGGAAAACAGCAATATTTAGCTGATGCTTTGCTATTATATTAAATTATGCAACATAAAGTCATAAAAGTTGCCATTCAACATTGTGATCATAACAATAATATTATATCATTGAAAACGACGGATGGTATAATTATACTATAATTTTGTAGAGAACTAAAATAAACGACCAGAGGAAACCTGTACTAGAAAAAAAAAGTAAAGAAAGGAGAATATTTATGCAATAACATAAAGCCCTAGAAATAAAGCAATCATATACACAAAAAAAAAAAAAATTTAAATAGAACCAAGAAGTGGAAGAAAAGCAGTTCTACCGTACAAGCTTTGTAGAATGACTGATTTTGTTGAGGTACACAATAACTTTTTTCATAGTCTATATATTCTTCTTTTTCTCCTCCTCCTTCTTCTTTTTCTTCTTCTTCTCCTGCTTCTCCAACATTCCAGGCCCTTAAGGTTCATTGCTGCAGATATCACAAGTCTCCATTCATCTCTCTGATTATCCCTCTTTCCAGTTAATGACACAAGTATTTGTAGGTCTGCCTGCATATTATCTCTCCATCATCTTCTTGATCCACTTTATGGTCTACTGGAATTAAACTCTTTTATGTACACAGTGTTTGTCTCTCTCAGATCTGCAGTTTTCTCTGCATTTTACAGCCATTTGAGTCTCTTAACCCTCATGATGCCAGTGATCAGTGGGGATTTAAAAGATTATGAATTGTGTTGCTGTTTCTCACTTATTTTACAATTCCCACTGTCTGCATCTTTGATAATTTATTATTTCTGATTATTACTATTAATTTAATTATTATTAGTCTGTTCAAATCACAACTAATTACCGGCATGATGAAGGCAGAACTAGAGTATGTAACAAGGACAGAAAAGTTGGAAGGAGAAAAAAGTTGGAGGTAGACAGAGAGAGATTGCTTCCATCAGAAGGCAACAATCTATATTCTTTAGGAATAATCTGAGAAGGCAGAACTAGAGTATGTCACAAGAACAGAAAAGCTGGAGGGGAAAAAGAGATGGAGGAAAGCCAGAAGAGAAAATGTTGGATAGTTTAGCATCACAGCATGGACAAACTTCTGTATCAGAAATGGCTGATAGGACACCAGATAGGAGGCTGCGGACAGATATGATTATCAATGTCACACTGCATGGACTGTGAGAAGACAGTTCTACTCAGGAGCCAGGTAATGAATGTTTGCACTTTATAGCTCCCAGTCATAAAAGCTGACTAATTAAGGTGATTTCTTTAAAGGCGGAGTGCGTCTGACCAAGAGGCAAGGAAACCAACAGTCTGCATACAGATAAGCCAGATCTGTAAAATGGACATGCTCGTAAACCCCAAGTTCTGGAACAAGATCAAAGTCAAAAAGTGGATAAACAGTCTGCATACAAATAAGCCAGATCTGTAAAATGGGCATGTATGTAAAACTCAAGCTGCGTAACAAGTCCAAAAGTGGATGAACAACTATAACTTTTCACTGGAGTTCACAGCTGGTGAAGAAGAAGAGTAGGTTATGCAAAAAATAGGATGACTTGGTTGACGCCTCTGCTCCATGGGGGGATAACAAGCAAAAAAAAAAAAAGATGATTTATAGTGTATAGTCATTAATGTATCTAATTGTTCACTGTAATTGTTTCCTAGAAGGATTGCCAAGAGACCCCACTTTTTGATCCACGCATTTTACTGCGGCTGGATCCCAGTAAGTTCAAAGCTGGATATAAAAATGGTGTTTCACCTTTGCACCCGGGTGAACATCTCCACATACGACCACTGAGTATTGGAGATTATGAGAAAGGTAACAAGCTCTTTTCTGATTCATTATTGACTTATTGATTTGCTTATTGTCTGGTTTACTGGTTTATTAATTCTTCTTAGCGTTCACTGGCTGTAAACTCTGGTGGAAAGTTATGTTTGTTCATCCATTCCTGAACTTTGATCTTGATCCAGAACACAAATTTTGCATGCACGTCCTTATTGAGATGAATTTGGAAGCAACTGAGCTGTGGTTTCTGAGACTAACGTTACGAATACCTTGGACAGCCAGAGTAACTGACAATTATTACTTGAAAGAAGCTAATGAAAGTAGATCTCTATATACAACAATAAGAAAGAGACAAACACTGTTCTTTGGCCATATAATGAAAAAAGAGACATTGGAGAACATCGTGACAACTGGAAAGATCAGTGGAAAAAGGGGTAGAGGCAGACCATGAGAGATGATGCTGGATGAGTTGAAACGATGGCATGGAGGGATATTATCAAGAGAGCTGTTCCAGGCAACCAGGGATCATGATCTGTGGAGATGCATGAGCGCCTACGCCAGTTGGTAGGGCACATGATAATGCTGATGATCCTTATTGCAGATCTGGCTTATTTGTGTGCAGACTGTTGTTTCCTTGCCTCTCAAGCAGACTCTAGCTTTGAGGGAACATACCTAATTAGTCAACTCCTATGACATGCTTGTTGGGGGTGGGGTGTGTATTCTTTGTTCTCCAAAGTAGAGCTCCGGAACCCACACAGAGAGTTTATTAATTAACTTTTTATTTACTTATTAATTTAAATTTACCAACAGTTTAACTGACTGCTGACTGACTGTCTGTGTTAGCTTGTGGCTGGCATAATTTAACGTGTATATGTATAAAGGTTATTTCCTGTGGATTGATATTTTACTTTTCCTTTTTTTTGGTTTGTGTAACGTCGGTCATATTATCTCCCACAATTTCTTCTAGTATCCCTTTATGTGTCTGGGTCACCCTTAGAGCCATGCAGACATGGGAAATTCCCACAATGAAGCATTGAACTCAGGACAAACTGGCAGAAAGATAAAAGCACTGTTCAGTACACACAGAGTGGTCAGTATGCAAACCTAGCTTCTATATATGTATCCATGAAAAGTTCACACAAGTCTGGTGATTGCAGTTCCAACACCATAGCAGTGGGATCACTCCATAGTTGTTCCCTTCCTGTACCAATGATGACCACACTTATCGCTATCCCCTGTAAAAAAATTGACGCAGACTACAGCCTCAGCAAAGCTAATACCATACAGATGCAGAAGTGCCACCACAAACAGTGACACTGGAAATGCAGCTCATCATCGATGGAAGCAGCACTTACAATATATCAGTTATTGCACATGCAGTTAATCGCATAAGGCACCACCAGTTATTTCTGGCAACAAGCCATGTGCCATTTTCGGATTCTGCAGTTCACTACGCACGCCACATTGGGCACAGTCGAAAAGCATTCCAAGTATTAATTCTATTCTTTTGCTGCAAAAGTAATGTCACCTTCTTCTGCTTTTGTCCAAATATCTTTTGTGATGCATGATCTTATGTTTGTGTTTCAGGTTATCTGGATCTACTCAAACAGCTGACAGCTGTCGGAGATGTTTCAAAGGAAGATTTTATAGGTTAGCTGTTAGTTCCGTTTCATAACATTGATATATACAACATCTATCGGTTTTGTAACATTGACATATATACATCTGTCAGTTTTATAACATTGATAAATACAACATCCATCAGTTTTATAACATTGTCATATCCAACATCTGTCAGTTTTATGACACTGATATATTTATATAACATACATCAGTTTTATAACATTGACACATACCACATTCATAAATTGTATACCATTAACACATACAAGATGCATCAGTTTTATAACATTAAAACATACCACATCCATGTACAAGATGCATCAGTTTTATAACTGTTACAGTAAACTACTACCGATCCACAGATACTGTCTCATAGGGCTTGACTTTTCAGATTAAAATGAAAACTAGGGGAATTATTGTGCACATTATGCATCCCATCTCAAAGTTTGGGAACTCCCTGTGTGGGTTTCAGGTTTCAGTGCCCCATTTGGGCTGAGGGGTAGGAGAATAGACCCACAGTTCCCCCGCCCACTTTCAGCAAGTATGCTGAAAAATGCCCTCATTATGACTTTGAAATTGGAGGTGTCAAGCCTAGCTGCAAACCCGTGACATAATATGCCAGGCGCTCATTCAAGGGTGAACCCAGAACAAGAAGATAGTTTGGCTGATATAAGCACATTTGGATCCTCCCTGTTGAAACAGAATTTGTGCAGTGGTTGAGGTACTCCTTGTGTGATCTAAGGAAGGAGACTGGTGCACTCGTGAAATTAACTGAGTATCGCCTGTGTGGTTTCCTGTGATCTGTTGTGGGGGGGGGGGGGGGGGATGAGCTGCCATGGTGTAGCGACTAGAAGCTTGCCTGGGTATTGAAATGTCCTGGGTTCGGATCCTGACAGTGCCTGACTTTTTTTTTTTCCAGAAATGATCTTAGCTCCCAGGTTGACCCAGCCATGAGTGGGTACCGGGTATAGTCCTGGGAAGTAAAGGTGGCCAGCATGATGTTAATCACATCACCCACCGAGTACTGATTGTTCTTTAAAATATAGGTCTAGCCCTATATGCCTATTTTGCCTTAAGGCGTTAAAAAAGGGTCCTTTACTTTTTCTTTTTATTGTTGGGGGGGGGGGGGGGGGGGGGGGGGGGCTCAGCAGCTTCTAACAAGCATGTAATAAAAGTCTACTAATTAGAGGTATTTTCTTAGAAGTCAAAGTGCCTGGTGAGGAACCAGCAGTCTGCACACAAATAAACCTGATCTGTAAAATGGATGTACACACAAAAGCTCAAGTTCTGGAACAAGACTAAGGTCCAGAAGTGGATGAACAGCCAGAACTTTCAAGCAGAGTTTACAGCCGGCAAATGCGAAGAAGAGGAAGAAGAAGATCTGAGTGTCTAATGAATGTAACCCTTACCATAATAGCTGGGACTGTGATGGTTTTTGCAGGTAGGTTCAGCCAGATGAAGAGCTGTGAAGACACATACTTCATTGTTGTCATAGAGGACCTGAAATCTGGTCAGATTATTGGGTCAGCCACTCTAGTGAAGGAACAAAAGTTCATCCATCATGTTAGTTCTGTAAGTTGGTTTGTTGTTTGTGGATTGATAAATAAAACAAGGATGTGTTGTCATGAAACTGTATTTGTAAACAAACAAACAAAAAATAAAAAAAATCACTTAACTCTTTGAGTCCTAGGGGGTTAAGCATCAGAGGCCCAAGGGGTAGTCAAGAGAGATCCAAAATGGCAGCATCTTGCATTCATTGGGCCTCTAGGAGAGAACATATGAACGTATGATGCATTTCTTGGGATTCAAAGAGTTGACAGGCAGTCAACACAGATGATGCTCTATCCAGGTAGGTGGCAGTGACTCTCTCGGCTCTAGTCACCTGCAGACTTCTCAGACACACTGACTGTGAGTTCATCATCATTTTTAACATGGAACAAGGAACGCTGGAAACACCACGCAGCTGATACTATAATGTTTTTTTGAGTCAAACGACTCTTCTCCATCAGTCTCAGAGGTGGAAAACATCTATGGATGACCAATTTGGCCATATACTACAGCATTAGTAACTTCAATTGACCTAACACATTACCGTTCATAAGATGACAAAACCACAACACTTCCAACCTAACCACTTTAAGGTTTGCAGTCATCCAGACTGACAGCAAACAAACAACGCTCAACCATGGTGAGGTGTCAGGCTAAACAAGATGGCTAGGTTTTCTAGGGACTCACAGTCTACGCTTGAGCAGGCATTCACACGCTAGTAGATTAATTCATTGTCATACACACTGTACCAGGATCGAAAACAAGACTGACTATTCTAGATCATTCCAAGCTTAAATAATCTTTGCTGTCTTAACTTCTTGAACATTCAACAAATGATTCACACTTACTCTACTATGACATGCCACCTTGCACACTTGCCACGAGTTATTTGTTATACATCATACTTAATACCATTCTCATAAATTATGTTTAGTATTTAACCTCATTAACAACGAGAGCATTGATTAAAAATAAGAAAATGACTCATTACAGTATGTTCGGAGGTTTCGTTTTAGGAGAAACAAAATAATAGACCCACCGCTCTTTAACAAATATGTTATAAAAAGTGACAAATTAATAGTTTGCTGAAGTGGCTGCGTTGTCCCATAACAAATAGATGCAGCAGCCTAGCTTTAAACCACAACACAACATGCCAAACCCTCTTTTAAGGATCAGTGCACAAGAAGAAGAAATTACCTGTACATGTGACTGCTTTCACGGTAAACGATTCTCATGTTATATTTTTTAATAATACTTTGGTTGAAACATCACTAAGTTTGTTTCTGAATGTTCTTACTTTCATAATTATTTTAGTGATTGACATTAATAACTTTTTGGTCATATAAATAATTGATTGTTTCTGAATATTAAAAAAAAAATTTCTTTTTACTTTTAACTCTTTGAGTCCCAAGGAACGCATCATACGTTCATAGATTCCTACCTAGAGGCCCAATGAACGCATGTTGCGCCGATTTTACGTCTCTCTTGACTACCCCTTGGGCCTGGGATGCTAAACCTCCGGGACTCAAAGAGTTAAGGCTGTTTACAAACTAAATGTTCTAATTCCTGTAGTTAACATACACAACTGTTTTTCTGTTATTTAAGTGTCTCATTCTGACTTTATCACATTTTTCAGCGAGGTCGGGTCGAAGATGTGATTGTCAGTGACTTATATCGAGGGCAGCAATTAGGTAAAATGTAAGTTGTTTTCAAAATAGTCTGTGATGCACATTCTACGCTATCCTTGCCTAATTATTTTATTGTTTACAATGTTAAGTGCTTCAATTAATGTCAGAACTTAACCTTTTTGCATGGAATGCTACTAACTCGGCACATAAAAGAATAGGCCCACTGCCTACCCAAAAGCATGTCGTAAGAGTCGACTAATTAAGAGCTTTCTTCGAAGTCAGAGTGCATCTGCCTGAGAGGCAAGGAACCAATAATCTGCATGCAAATGATTCAGATCTGTCAAATGGATGCACACGCAACACTCAGGTTCTGAAACAGGACTGCAGTACAGAAGTGGATGAATAACCAGAACTTTCTGCCGGACTTTACAGCCAGTTAACGTGAAGAAGAAGCAGAAAAATTCCTTGCAGAGCCTGAGAAGTATAATTAACACAGTAGTTCTCTTTGCACCTGCGCAGTCTTCAGGATGTCCTAGTTATATTATTAAAAATAAAATATTGAGGGGAAATAGAAGGGGGGGGGGGGGTTGTTTAAAAAAAAGGCTCTATTTAGGCAATTGTAACATCATAATTTATATTGACTTTAGTAGTTGCATAGTGACGAGACCGTGGAAGTGACCCAAGGGAGTGAAATCCATTTAATTCTTTAATTCCAAGTTCCTTTGGTATTCATTGATTACAACTCTTCATTTATATTTACTTCTTTTAAAAATGTAAATCAGTCAATTTTCAAAACATTTATTCGACTCTTAGGTGTATTTGGATATATGATGCTAGACCTGTATTTTATAGACCAAACGGCACTCATTGAGTGATGTGATCAGCATCATGCTGACCGCCTTTACTTCCCGGGACTTTACCTGGTACACATTTTAGACTAGGTGAATTTGAGGGCCAAGGCCATTTTTGAAAAACAAAATCCGACGATGTGGATTTGAATTGTTGAGTCGGAGGTGGGTGTCTAGCTACTACACCAGACCCATTAAATTAAGTTTGCTCAGGGGCTAAAATCTTGGAAAAAGGGGTCGCCATGGGCCAGAGGTTTGAGCCTCATCATAGAAAGATCATTAATGCAGTACAACTGGCAATGATCCACAGGCCACTTGTTAGGCCTGCACGGGCCAGATTTGGCCTGCAGGCCGCCAGTTGAATAGCTCAGCACCCTGCAATGGTGGCAGCCACATTCATTAGAAATGCGTGTTAAAATTTTTTTTTGGGGGGGGGGATGGGGGGAATTTTTTTTGGGGACAGGGGGGGGGGGGTAATTCCTGGAATTAGAGCTTGTTTCTCCACGGAAAAGGGTATGGTGTAGCGGTTGGACGCTCGCGTGCGGATCGGAAGGTCTTGGATTGGCTCCCTGGTGGAGTCGTACTTTTTTCAAAAATGACTTTGACTCTCAGGTCCACCCAGCCTTGAGTGGGTACCGGGTGCAGTCCCAGGAAATAAAGGCTGACCACATCATTCAAACATCTAGTGCTGATTGGTCTATAAAAATATAGGTCTAGCCCTATATGCCTTATACACCTTAAGATGTGGAAAAGGGACCTTTACTTACTTTTTTTACTCCTCAAAGGAGGTTGCTGGGGCCAAAGGGTTAAAGTTTGTTAACTGTATTCAGACAAAAATGGAAAGTCACATGAAATTAAACAGTTTCTACAGCCTTCAACAGTCACATCAACTGATACATGATTTTTTGTTAAGGGAGTCGGAGACAAGCGCATTACCATGTCAGACATATTGACAGCGGGGTTGCCAACATTTCTTTTTGGGGGTTGGGAATAGTACCAGGTATGTTTTTGAAAAGGTACCAAAATGCAAAACACACCAAAAGGTACCACAATTGAAATGTTTAATAAAAAACCCTTTAAAGCGTCTTTAAAATAAATCATACAAACACACATGCACTCACATGCACGCGTGCGCACACACACACAGAGACTCACACAGACACATGCAAACACACATACACTCACATGCACATGAGCTCACACACACAGACACACGCGGCTTATCTTATACTGATATATGACCAGAATTGAAATTCTTTGCCTATTTCATCATTGCTGTACCATTTTTTCCACTCAGTTTATTACAAAGCTGTTGTGGCAGCTTTCATTAGTTGCAGTATATTGAAGGGTTAGGTTTAGTCTCCCCAAACAAAGTTGGTTCTGTTTCATTCATAAGTTGGTTGGGCTGGTCTACTTTCCTGCAGGTTACGGGTGTGTCGCTCTGTTTGCTCTCTGGGTTGTCTTGCATTTACGTTTTTGTTCCCAGAAAGACATTGCCTGTGACGTAGGTTGTGTTAGACCCAGTTTGTCCATGTTTTTGGAGTGTTAAAAGCACTGGCATGCTGAAATATACAACACATAATATCAATGGCATTGCAGAAAACCCCCGTAACCTTGTGCCAAGGTTGCGTGGCTCAAGGTCTACCAATCAGAAGTGAGATAGTGTGTATATGGGCGGGATCTGGGGAGACCAACGTTAGTTTTACCTACTGAGGTCTTCTAATCTTAATATTGTTAGGTAGAGAGAAAACACTTTCTACAGTTGCAGAGGAATGAGGCAATGTTGTGATGTTTGTTGCTAATGTTTCAGTCTTCTAGATGTTCTTGTGGCTCTCAGCCAAGATCTAGGCTGCTACAAAGTGTCTCTAGAGTGCAAGGACAAGAACGTGGAGTTTTACACCCAGTTTGGCTTCCAGAAAACTGAAGGCCAGAACTTCATGCAGCTGAGATTCTTCGACTAAAGGCCTTATTTTTGGAATATACCAGTGTTGCCTTTAAAGTTATAATGTTTGATATATCAGATATCAAGATAGTTAGTCAGCTAGTTAGTTAGTCATTACAGTTCCGGCATCACAGCAAACAAGCTTAACCCATAATTGCTCAAACGTCTATGCCAGTGATGTCAGTCACAAACTAAGTCAGATACGCTGGATACTTCAAGTGAATGCCGTAGCCATACAAAGTGTCCTCAGTCAGCAAAACACACACGATTTGATCTGGCAAACCATAAGGTCTCTTTAAACACACTGCGAGACCAGGCCTCATCGTTGAAAATCAACTTCATTCCACGATTAGCTGGGCGATGAGAAGATTAAAACTATTCCTGACAATTCTCCATGTGTCCTCGGCCTAGTTACAGCCACGGCCAGCAAATAAATAGCAGCAATAGCATGTGCCTTGTCCCAGGAACACAACAAAGCAAAAAACATCACCCATCATTGCCATTGCCATTATGTACGAATCTGGAACTCAGTCAGAAACCGATAATCACAGCTCATAGTGCCGCCAGGAGCATTAAACTCAGTAGCTACGGCTATAAACCTGACTTCCACAGTCTTGCAACATTGAAACTGGAGAAGAAACGGCGACAAGAACAGTCAAAATAAACCAAGTTTCTCAACGTCACCCATTCCCTATCAATGTCGGAACCGGAAGTCCAGATCAAGATATCAAGATGAAGTCAGACAACTCAAATTTGCTCATCAGAGAAATAGTTGTGTATTTTCTGTGATGATCAGGGCAGCATCTAGGATGCATGACGCTTTCATGCAGTCATTTATTTTACTCCCTCCTTTTTTCTCTCAGCCAAATATCATCACCACCTTTGCCATACTATTTTAATGCCAGAAGGTGAATATAATATTGATAACAGTAATAAAAATCTAAAGATTTTATTACTACTAGTTATATATTCTTCTTCGTTTTATACCCGAGTGTAACATAGGCCCTCAACCAACTCATGCCAAGTCGTTCACGGTAGGTCGATTTTTGTGGCTGTTGTTTTTACCAGATGAGGTAGCCAACCCCAGCCCTACCTTTAGTCGCCTCTTATGACATGCATGGTAGTTATATATTGCCACCCTCAGAATTGTCTTGCCCTGGGTGGCTGCATATGTTGCACATCCCTATACACGGTTTTGATAACAATGTTTGGTGAGATAGGTTATCGTGATATTGATCCAGTTAGTGTCAAACAGCAAGTAGCTCAACCCTCTTTGATTATTTCATCTTTATCTCTTAATCTAAAAATAAATGTTTGATTCATTTCTTCTTCAAACTTTCCTGTTTTATCTTTGCTGTTATATTACGGGACATATCAAATAAGACAGATAATACCAGTCAGCTCATGTGTTTGTAGTTAGAGAAATCACTCTCTTCACGGTTGAGGAGTATTGTCTGGATCTTTTCTCTGGGATACGCCGGTGTGCTTTCTTGATGTATTCTACTCCCCTTTTACTCTTCCTTTTACGTATCTTTGTGAATTCTATAATCATTTCATACTCATCATGTACCCTTTCTGCACACATTCTATAGTGTTTCTATAGTGACTCAGTAGTAAGCCCTACGTCAGATGGGTTTTGACTTTCTGTCTGAAGATACTGAATGTCACCGACAGAATATACTACATTCAGATTTACTATTATTATTTCATTTCTGTATCAAATTTGATTTTGAAAGCTGGTTTTGATTGACTTGATTTTGTGAGTTGGATTTGATTGACTTTGTCGGCTGCTTTTGATTGATATGACTCTGTGAGCTGGTTTCAGTTGATCTGACTTTGTGAGCTGGTTTTAATTGACTTTGTGAGCTGGTTTTGATTGATATGACTTTGTGAGCAGGTTTCAGTTGATCTGACTTTATGAGCTGGTTTTGATTGATATGACTCTGTAAGCTGGTTTCAGTTTATCTGACTTTGTGAGCTAGTTTTAGTTGATCTGACTTTGTGAGCTGGTTTTAGTTGATCTGACTTTGTGAGCTGGTTTTAGTTGATCTGACTTTGTGAGCTGGTTTTAGTTGATCTGGCTTTGTGAGCTGGTTTTAGTTGATCTGACTTTGTGAGCTGGTTTTAGTTGATCTGACTTTGTGAGCTGGTTTTAGTTGATCTGACTTTGTGAGCTGGTTTAAATTTACTTTGTGAGCTGGTTTTAGTTGATCTGACTTTGTGAGCTGGTTTCAGTTGATCTGACTTTGTGAGCTGGTTTTAGATGATCTGACTTTGTGAGCTGGTTTTAGATGATCTGACTTTGTGAGCTGGTTTTAGATGATCTGACTTTGTGAGCTGGTTTTGATTGATATAACTTTGTGAGTTGGTTTTAATTGACTTTGTGAGCTGGTTTTGATTGATATGACTTTGTGAGCTGGTTTTAGTTGATCTGACTTTGTGAGCTGGTTTTGATTGATATGAATCTGTGAGCTGGTTTCAGTTGATATGACTTTGTGAGCTGGTTTCAGTTGATCTGACTTTGTGAGCTGGTTTTAATTGACTTTGTGAGCTGGTTTTGATTGATATGACTTTGTGAGCTGGTTTCAGTTGATCTGACTTTGTGAGCTAGTTTTAGTTGATCTGACTTTGTGAGCTAGTTTTAATTGACTTTGTGGGCTGGTTTTGATTGATCTGACTTTGTAACTTGGTTTGCGTCATTAAATTTTGAGGGAAGGTTTTGTTGAATTTGTGATATGATTTGAATTGTCATTTTTGACTTCAATATTTTATGCAATCTTTCTTTGTTAAATATGATGAGAAAAAGAATTTTCAAGAGCTAAATAAATCCTATCCTGATATATGGAAGTGAATCATAAACAGTTGGACGATTAGTGGTAAATTATTTAGAGATGCGGTTTTGTAGACAAATGATGAGAAAAAACTAGACAGATAAAAAGAATATTGAAGATGTCTTAAAAGAAACTGACTCACAAAGAGAACTTCTTCTTTTTCTTCTTCGCGTTCACCAGCTGTACACTCTGGCGAAAAGTTCTGGTTGCTCGTCCATTACTGAACTGCAGTCCTGCTCCAGAACCTGAGTGCTGCGTGTGCATCAGTTTTACAGATCTCGTTCTCTTGAATACAGACTGTTGGTTCCCTGCCTCTCCGGCAGATGCACTCCGACTTCAAAGGAAGCTCCCCAATTAGTCGACTCTTACGACATGCTTTTGGGGAGGCAGTGGGTCTATTCTTGTTTTCCCCACAATGGGGCCCCGGAACCCACACGGGGGACAAAGAGAACTGATTGCCCACATTAGAAAGAGACAGTCTACATACTTTGGTTATGTGATGAGAAGAAGAAAAATGGAGTACATCATGACGGTAAGAAAGTTGGAGGGGAGGAGAGGCAGAGGGAGACGGAGAGAACAGATGCTGGACAATGTGATGTCTTGGTATGGAAGATCACCTGTGTCAGAATTAATTGAAAGGTCATGAAACAGAAAGTTTTAGACAGGCATGACTACCAACACCACAAAATGTGACTTTATGAGTTAGTGTTTTGTGGACTTTTACAACCTGCTTATGTCCAGTTTTTTTCTTTTTTTTTCTGGCTGTTCCGGGTTCAGTCCCTAGTAAGAGCTGGGATTTTTTCACGTGGACTTGGACTTCTAGTATTCCCACTGGTCTCTGTGTAGTGAGATGAGACGCCCGTATGCATTGTTGCGCACGTAAAAAAAAAATCCCTTTGGCAGTTGGAAATCGAAAAGAGTAGCCTAACAGCGCTGCCCGGGCAAAATTTGGAGTTAAAAATCTACCCAAAGTATTTCAGGATCCTCGCCGGTGCTACAGAGCCTGTGCACTTTGCTGAGCTTCTTTGGAGTCAGACTTGAGTTAGAAGAAGAATGGAGCACTTATGGGTCCTACCCGTGTGTCATGATGTTGATCCATTGTTGAAACTTCAAACCTTCTGGCTATATGAATCGGATTTACACTGCTAGTACTGGGTTTTTTTTCAGGCGTCATATTTTCAGTTCTGCTGTAATAGACATTTTGTGAGTAGTTACAGCATCTTTTTTAGAGATTGTTGATGAGAATTGGGAGCTTGTTTTCTAGGAAGAAAATGCTATGTTTATGCTCTTGTCTTGGCTTAGGCGTTTCGAATAACTTCATAATGCCTGGGTGCCAGGTTCGATCCCAGCTGTGACAGTTTGTCTTGCCTTGGTTTCGACATTGGTACGGAGAACTGACCATTTAGAAAGCATTGGCAAACTATTTAACGTAAAATTTGCCTAGAAAAACCCACAAAAGTCAAAAAATTCTATTTTCTGGTATGTCCTGTAAAGGATATGAAACTAACTTTTTTTTTTTAACTTCGTGAAAACGGTCAATTTTCTCTTTCTCTCTCTCTCTCTTAATATTCATTGGCTGTAAATTGGCAGAAATGTGTGGTTTCTCATCCACTTCTGGCCTTTTAAAACTGTCGATGATAACATTATTACTCAGTTTGTTAAACTGTATTTTTTTTTGCTACCTGGCAGTGATGAATGGTCCCTTTTCCACGCATTTAGGCACATTGAAATTATAGTGTTAGACCTATATTTTTAAAATATTAATTCCCAGGACTGCACCTGGTATCCACCCAAAGCTGGGTCAACCTGCGTGTCAAGGTAATTTTTAAAAAAAAGTCTGGCTCCCTCAGGACGCGAACTTCCGATCGGCAAGTGGGTATCTAGCCGCCAACACCACTGTGACTCCTGACGGACATATGGAAATCTGAGAAATGTTTACATTGTTTTGCTGTTGATTTACTGAACTGCACTGTGTGAAATGTTATTTTACTTTGCTTTCACATTCTTGTAATCCTTAAAACTTGACACAGGAAACCAGAATTATTCAAACTTTATTTTCCTTTGCCTGATTGTAATTTTTAAACGTTGAATTTAAAATGAAATTTCTCTCCATGTGGGTTCAGAGGCCTGACTGTGTGGACAATAGAATAGACCCCCCCCCCGACCCCCCCCCCCGCCTCTTTTTTCC